AGAGTGATCCACGTGGCTCTGTGGGGAGTATCAGTCCAGGCAGTGGAGAGAGCCTGATGCAGAGCAGTGCTGGGGCAGTAACTACAGCAAGACCAGTGTGAGTACAGTGGAGGAAGGAAGTAGGAGCGTTGGCATGAGGTCAGCAATCTGGCAGACCCTGACTGGGGTCTTCTGGGGGATGGTAAGAACTTCCCATAATACTCTCAGTGCAATGACATATACTAAATCAGAAGAATCCATGTTCATGGGACTAGGGAGCAGGAAAACCAAAAAGGGATACTGTGTATTTGGTGACTGGAAGAAGAGCAAGGAAGAGGTGAGGTGAAGGGCCCATTATTGAAATCTGACAACCTGGTAGACAGAGAACTGCTCTACAAAGGCTGAGAAAAGGTCAAGAGTAGCTTCCAGATGCCAGTTCTCCTGCAGGGATATGGACAGCACATGACCTCGCTCTGCTCCATCCCTCTAACCTTCTACCTGGGCTTCCCGCTGACCAACGTAATAGGCCCCAATGGGCCTATTAAAGTAGTCTATACAGGTTAACCTCTCTAGTCACAGAGCAAGGTGGAAAAGAGTGGATCTGGAAGAAGAGACAACACTCAACGCTGTCTACTCCCCTTCAGCTTCTTGACATCAACTCTGGTCCTTCATGCAGTGGTAAGTTCATGTTCTCATATAAGACACAAAGGAAGCCCATCAGCTGTGTTATTTTAGGGTAATATCAATTTGACCATACTCACACTAGAAACCTGAAACTTTTAGTATACCAGTTTGTTTTGTTTTTTAACATAATATAGAGGGAGGAAGGGCGGGCCATGGGATATGTGGGAAAAAATTAACAATTAATTAAAAATGTAGCTGCCTCTGTACCCGCTTCTTTGCCTGGTCTGGCAGCCTTCCATCACAATTCATATCACGCTCCCCGTTGTCTCTGCCAGATCCTCATCAGAATGAGGTTCATTACCTGATAGTGTGAGTTTAGGTCTGAGGGAGGTTTTCGCTTGATGGACTTTATTGAGGAGCATCTCTAAAGGAGAGAACCAGGATTGGGATGAGTAAGTGATTGCATTATAGTAAGTTAAAAACAGAGTATATTTGATTCCATGGGGAGCTCTGGAGCTGGGGTGGCTCTTCAAGAGTGTCTTAAATTGATGCAACGGTTGGGTCTTTGTACCCCTCACATGAACCAGTCATTGGAAGGGCTGCTGGGAATTGGCTATAATCTTAGGTGTGGCACTTTCCTTTGGCCCAAGGGAAGTCCCAGAGGATGGCAGCATGAGCTATTAGCAGCCAACACTTCCGGTAGCTGGGGCAGTGAATGACTTAGCCCTGACAAAACAATCTGAGAAATATACCACTGTCTTCATTATAATCTGCCACTTATATCGCTCAGATGCACTTGCTTTTTAATATAAGTGAACACCGCATTATGGTTGGTCTTGTTGCCTAGAGGAACTTACAAGAGTAGGATCATTGGGACAAATTGACAGCTCTTGCCAGCAGCTGTCAATGCTGTCAATGCTGCAATTGATACCGCATCACATTCACCTACTATCCCATTTTAGATTCCCTTTATGCTTGGCTAGCACCTCAGCTGTTCTTGGTGGCTTACTAAGAGGTACAATCCAAAAACACTTGGTCACCATCTGAAATGATCTGAGGATACAGCTGCTATACTTTCTTATCAACCAAATCCCTGTGGGGATGATATCAAGAGACACCCAATGAATTGCCCGAGCGCCAAATGTTTTGTCTGTCTTCAACATGTAACTGAAGTCCCAAACCCTCTGGGGGGCACGATTAGTTACACATGGCAGAAGACATGGTGACTTCTTTGCTTTTGTGCTTGTCTCACAGCAGTTGTAAAGTTCAGTGGGACTCTTAATTTATCTGCTTGTGGAAGTGTTCACCCTCTGGAAACCAGGATCTTTAGATTAACTATTTTTTAATTAATTTTTTTTACCCTCACCCCAGGATACTCACCCAGAACAAGCATCGGACCAGAGATCGTTTACACTTGGACTGGGAATAATACATGCCCAGACCAGGGATCAAACCTGCAACCCAGGCATGCACCTCAACTGGGTATCAACCCACACTCTTTGGCCATGGGATGACACCAACTGAGCAACACTGGCCAGGGTGGATAATTATTAGTATTTTTTTAATGCTTTCTTCCCAAAAGCCCCATGACTCATCTTACATGAAGGGGGCAACCATTTTAGACTACAGATAGGAATAGCAATACTTTGGCAGCACTCAGTATAGTACAATAGCTGATGGAATTTACAGGCAGGGGTATAAAATTTCCACTCAGATGGTCTACAAGAGTAGATTCCAAGAAGCAAAAGGAATAAACGTTTCTGGACATCTTCCATTAGCTCCAAGGGATCCACTTTCTCTATCTTGCTGTACGAAGGAAGGTTAGTCAAGATAAATGACATCAGTGGGCTTTCTTACCTACGGCCTCTGGTTGGGTTTGGTCAATGGAGAGCCTAGGCATTAAATCAAAAGAATAAAAGAAAAGTCTTGCTCTGGCTATTTCTTGCATAACACGGGGCTGGGTACTACTCCTGACCTCCTCTTAGGTCCTGGAAAGCACCCTTTGTCTCCAGATTACAATATATTGTTCCTTCCCCTTGCCCCTTCAGGCTTAGGGGTATTGATAGAGCCCTGCCCTTACAAACTACTGTGTACCAGCCCACCTTTTGCAGTTTTTTCTCTATCCTATCTACAACACTGTGAATAGCCCCTTTATGAAAACTCTACTCAAACTGTCCTAGTCTGAGTATGTCTCTTGTTTCCTGCTGGGACTCTGACTGATATGCCAACACACTGAAAGTATAAGGAAAACTTGACTCATAAAACCCAGTAAGATAAGAATCTACCAAGTCTGATCACATTACCTCCTACCAATCTTTCAACAACCCCCACTTGTCCTAGTCCATTCACACTGGCCTCTGTGTGGTTGGCCTTTCCATGTCAACACTGCTCTTGCCACACAAATTCACATGACTCTCCGTCCCAACTCATTAAAATCTCTGTTCAAGTGCCCCTTAACTAAGAGGCTTTACTTTTTAATTCTATATAAAATGGCAAGATCCGAAGCTCCCTTAACTATCTTACAGTGCTTTGGTTTCTCATATAACAGTTACAATAACAATGCTACTATATTTTCTTGATTTTCGTATAATCTGTCTTTCTCCCACTAGGATGTAAGTGTTTCAATGGCAAACTTGAATTTCATTCATCGTTACAGACACCAGTGCCTCTAACAGTTTGGCATATAGAATATATTCAATAAAGAGGCTAGTGGTGCTCTAGCTGGTGTGGCTCAGTGGATTGAGTGTCAGCCTGCGAACCAAGGGGTCACTGGTTCAATTCCCAGGGTCGGGCACATGCCTGGGTTGCAGGCCGGGTTCCCAGCAGGGGGCGCACAAAATTAACCACACATCGATGTTTCCCTCTATTCCCCTCTCTAAAAATAAATAAATAAAATCTTAAAAAACAAAACTTCAGAAAAGGAACAGAAATTAAAAAAAAAAAGAGGCTAGTGGGTAAGTGCACAGACTGTCTGGGTTCAGATCTGAGCACTACCACTTGTTAGCCAATGAATTCAGGCAAGTATCATAAGTGTATCATACCAGTTTTCTTGTATGTAAATGGGGATATTCCAGTACATACTTTGGAAGCTTATACTGAATACTCACTAAGTTGACACTCATAAGGCATTCAGGAGAGTGTCTAGTATATGGAAGGAGCTATATAAAAGCTTGATCATTTATTAATACATTGAAATACCTAGCTATTTGCCCTGGCCAGGTAGCTCAGTTGGCTAAAACATCATCCTGAAATACCTGGCTATCAAAATATGGACCTACATAAAAAGAAACAATTCACAAGAAAATAATCCTGTTGCTTATAGTACAATATAAACAAAAATGACAGAATTACAAAAATAAATGTTAATTTATAACCAAAAAAGACTTGAATACACACCTATCACTAAATATAAATAAGTTTGAGGAAAAAAACTCTGAATGTGTATACTACATCAAAAAACAATTAACTTGAGTTAATGGGTGTATATATAATTTATATTTAAAATTTATAGAATGCATAATGTTTTCAAACAAACACAGCACATTTATAAAATCTAAACAACAGGTTTACAGGTTAGATGTTGAATTCATCTGGACATTAGCACACCACCTCCTCAAAAATAAACCCCCCAAATCACTTTGGGCCCAATCACTCAGAGGTTACTTTTAATCACATATGAAGCCTAGGAGTAAGCAATCCAGAGTTGATACAGCTGAAGAAGCTTATGGGGAGCCCAAATAATTGTGATTTCTTAATTTTTTGTCCTCATAATTAAAATACAGCACTTCCAATTCCCGGTCTTGAGGCCACTTTCAAGGGAAAAATTAGTTAAGATGAAAGAATATGGGTAAGGCGAGTAAGCCAGATGAGGTTCCCCCCTGTGACTTCTATCTACTTCTTACAGCCAGCATGGCAGGTCAACACATCTCTGGGCTTCAGTGAGGCTTTACCTAGTGAGTATTTTCAATATTGTTTGACAACTTGAACAAAGTATTTTTTTCCTTTAAGTGAATAAGTAGGGGAGGATGGGCATTGGGGAAGAAGCTAAAAGTAACTGCCATACTACGATATAAAGATAAAAATGAATCGACATCACAAAGTCCACTTACTTGACAAAAATACCATTAAAAGTGTATAATACATATAATGTATGTTTCATTATGATAAACCAAATCACTCAGCAGATATTCAGAAGAACATCTGTAATATATTGATACTTTAAAAAGAGTAAATGATAAAAAACATACTACATACCAAACTATGGAACATAACTTCAGGTTTATTTAGGGTATAGCTATAAACATACATGTTTATACTAAAACAAAACAACTGAAAATTAATGAGCTAATGGACCAACCTAAGGATTAGATACTGTTAAAGGTAATACCACACTCACAAGGTTTACATATTCCATTCCCAGTTGAAATTATTTAGTGGCTACTCGGTGCAGAAGTGAGGCTGAGGCATTGCTGTACTGATTACGTTCCTAGGGTCTCCCTCTAGTGTGAGCTCTCACAGGTCAACAAAGACAGGCATCACAGAAAAATCTTCCAAAATTAATACACTGACAGGTTTGCATCCAGGGAGAATTTCATGTTTTTCCTAATGTAAAAGCTATTAATAGAGGCGTTCCCTCAATCTTTATATTCATAGACTTCTTTGAAGTGAGTTCTCAGTTTCCTAAGAATGGGAAAAATGAAAGACTTTCTAGTACTGATGACATTTAATAGGTTTTCCTCTCCAGGATAAATCCTTACATCTCTCAAAAATTGAGAGGACGTTAAGCTTTTTCCATCACATTCAGAATAGCTCACCAACTTTTGCTGAGTAATACAAAATGTTTGTGCTATAGGGTTTTTACATTCCTTGTATGTTTGCCTGCAGTGGTTTACCATGTGTGTTCTAAGGGATGAGTGTTCCTCAAGTTTTCCGCATCCTGATACTTACAAGGTTTTACCCTTAGTGTGAATTGTACATGACTCTGCAGAGGTATCACTTAAGGCCTTCCTATAACCACCACATTCCTCGGGATTTTGCCCAGCACGTTTTGCACACATTAAGGTGATTTTAAGCTGAAAGCTGGTAAGGACTGCACTCATGAGGTTTTTCTCCAGAGTGAATTAACATAAGAGTTACTAAATGATACTTCATATCAAATAGATTGAAAGGCTGAAGGCCTTTCTTCATTGATTTCACGGCAAGCTTCTCAGATGGTTCCCAGTGACCTCTCTCTCATGCTACACATTCCTGTATAGTCTCCTTCCACAGTGTATCAGGACTGGTCTGTATGTTCAACACAATATGGAAGTAATACTATATCCTTCCAAGGCTAGGCCCTAAAAGACAACATGGCTTCAGCATTACCTCTCCTTTAGATAAAATGCTCTGGAGGGAACCTGCCGCTATATCATAAAGATACTTAGATACTATGGAGAGTTCTATATGGTAAGGAAATGAAGGTTCCTTGCCAACATCCAGCACTAATTTTCCAGGCATGTGAGCAAGGCATTTTGGAAACAAGCTCTTCAGCAGTAAAAATGCAGATAATTGTAGCCCCTGCTGACAACCTTGACTGAGCCTTCATGAGAGATCCTGAGCCAGAACTACAAAATTAAGCCATTTATGAACTTCTGACCTACAGAAATTGTGAGATAATAAATGTCTGTTGTTTGAAGCCACTATCTTTTGGAGGAAAATTTGTTAGGAGGCAACAGATAACTCATACACCTAGAATGAGTTACCCCAAGCTGTCTGAGGGATGAATGCTTTCCCAGTTATTGTATTCAAATCCACCTATTATGTATTCTCTTATGCACAGAAAGGTAAGAGTTAGTGGTGAAAGATTTTCCACAATGATTACATTCATAGGGTTTTTCTCCAGTGTGAGTTCTCACATGTTTCTTAACAGCTGAGAGATTATTAAAAGCTTTCCCACAGTTACTGCATTCATAGGGCTTCTCCCCAGTATGAATTCTCCTGTGCACAGTAAGAGAAAAGCTACTGCTGAAGGATTTGCCACACTGATTACACATGTAGGGTTTTTCTCCAGTATGAGTTCTCATGTGCTGTGTCAGGTATGAGCTCTTCCTAAAGGTTTTCCCACAATCATGGCACTCGTAAGGTTTCTCCCCCGTATGGATACTATTGTGCCCAGTAAGGGAGGACCTCGTGCTGAAGGCCTTTCCACACTGATTACATTCATGATGATTCTCTCTCGTATGAATTCTCTTGTGGCTTTTGAGGTTACAACTAGTACGGAAAACATGAAAACACTGGTTACATTCATAAGGTTTTTCTCCAGTATGAATTCTTACATGCAGTCTCAAGGATGAAGGATCATTGAAGGCTTTCCCGCAGTCATTGCATTCATAGGGTTTCTCCCCATTATGTATTCTCTTGTGAATGGTAAGATAAGATCTACTGCTGAAGGATTTTCCACATTGATTACAGTCATAGGGTTTTTCTCCAGTATGAATTCTCTTGTGCTGAGTAAGGTTAGATTTTGTGCTGAAAACTTTAAAACACTGATTACATTCATTGAGTTTCACTCCACCATGATTTCTTTCCTGTTGATAAAGAGATGAATAATAACTATAATTTATAGTATTTTTAATATTCCGTGTTGTCATATAAATTCTCTTGCCAGGAATTATAGTACATAATTATAATTGACATTTTCACTATTTTTAGTGCTTGTACATGACTTCTGCCCAGTTTGAGCTCTTAGAAATTCAAAACAATACATGCTGTGCCACAAGTCCTTATACTCACAGAGCATTTTTTTATTAATTTAGGACCACTTTATCATTCAACAGACAATATCTTAGTCACATTTAAGGAAATATTTACTTGTGGAAACTCAGTGAAAAAGTTTGGAGCTAACATAATTTTCTCCAAGTTCACAAATTTTTCACAGCATCTCTCCAGAGACACTATTGTCTCCTTTGTAAATGATACTTTCTTTTAATGACTCTCCTTTTTATTTTTTGGTTTTTCTAATTTTTAGAATTCTCCTACTGTGAACAACCAAGAATCACACACATTAGTCTTACCGCTTTTACACCACCAGAACGTTTTTTTCTAAAAACATGCTTCTTAGGAGTTAACCATTTGGCTTTAAGTATAGTCTCCAAATCTGTAACAGATTGAAAAGAAATTTAAATTGATCAAGCAAAGAAATAGTAAAGTACATTCAGGAATAAAGCTAGACTCAGAGGGATTAGGGTTTTTGAGGAGGTCTGCAGTGAAAGGGATATGTGTATGCCAAAAGGATTCTAGAATGATTAAGATTTATCAGAGATTTACAAAAGAAGGAATTATCAGGGATGCAAAGTATAAAGAAATGGGACAAAAAGCTCATATGAGACTTATGTTTAAAAAAAGAGATGTCTTTTTTTTTTTTTGACTTCTGGGTCTAAAGTAAAGTATGAGATGTTGAACAGAAAGTTAAAAGGAAAAAAAACAAAGTTCACAAGAAAGGAAGCTCATACCAAATGTTCTTGGCCACCTCCATCAGAAAAAAAGGACATTTTACAAAATTCTGTGATATTTCTTAGTGTAATAATCCCATATCCCAAATCACTGGCCATAGCTTTCCTCACAAGGACTCATAGCCCTCTGGTGCTCACCTGAACAAATGTCTGGGAGAATTCCTCTCCCCTCTGTCATCACTTTGTCTTCTTGCTCCAACTGAGAGATTAGGCTGAGTTTATCAACATGATACCCTAATCATGAAGAAAAGACATGTTGAAGGGGGACTGTGCAGGTGACAAGCAACTCCATGAAACTGAAGCCAACAATTCTAAAGATGGCCAAGTGTGACTTTTGAAGCAGTGACTAATTATACCTAAATTCTAATGAATATTATAACGCTCAAGGAACAAAAATACAAGCACCCTCACTCAATATCCAGGTGACAGGGTATATTGTTGACCCTGGGATGAGGGGTTTAGGGGTGTTGACCACCTGCACATTCAAAAACCTACATTTAATTTGACTCCCCTCAAACTTTAGTTGTCCTTTGGTATCCATGGGAGAATGGGTCAAAGATCCCCTGTGGATACAAAAATCCACAGATGCTCAAGTCCTTTATATAAAATGGCATGGGACAATGTATACAGTTAGCCCCCTACATTCACAAATTCCCAACCCATGGATTGAAAATACTGTTTTTATCTGGGGTTGGCTGAATCTTCAGATATGAAACCTAGGATATGATGGGCCAACTGTATATTTATTGGAAAAAATCAACGTATAAGTGGGTCCACATAGTTCAAACCTATGTTATTCAAGGATTAATTTAGTCCCAAATCCCATGCCAAAGTTTAAGTACACACTTCAGAAGCTCTAAAGCTTTTAACCATGGAGACATAAAGACAGGGTAAGAAACAGATATACTCATAGGGAAGGTATTAGTCAGAAAGCTCTGCAAGGGTGGAGAACATGCCTGTCTCATTGATCACTATACTCCTAAACCTAGCACAGACCCAGGAACATAGAAGTGCTTAAGAAAGACTTGTGAGAAGTAATGACATTGAAAATGAGGAATATTAAACTCCAAAAGCCCATCCTGCTATAAAAACTGTGAATAAACTGGTGAAAACTCTCAGAATAAACTTTATTAGAACTCTGGAAACTTGTCAAAAGATTACAGCAACCAGGAAAATGCTTAATCAAGGGGAAAAAAACCCAACACTTTAACTGACACTTTAACTGATCCTTGAATTATCCTCTATTCCCTGCTTTGGCTGTGATCTTGAAGACATGCTACATTCCTAGTACTGGAGGGAGCAGAATGGACCATTACCTCAAGGAACTGTGATTGTTTTGACTTTTTTGAAGGTTTGGTTCAAAGGGCTTGATTTCATTTACCTAATCCTAAACTCTACAAGAGCTGAGCAGACGCCCAGTGGGTATGTGCTAAACACATTTAAAGGCAAATATACCGGCCACCACCACCTGGAGCAAGGGAAAACAGTAGAAGAAAACAAAAGGCTAACCAAAAACTTGGAAGGAAAAGTGTGGAATAAGATATTTTGGGGAATTTTTGAAAAGCTCACTCATATTCCTTTTGTGGATGGTAAAGGGGTGCTATAATACGTCATAAATTCCTAACTGGGCAGGTCATGGTGGTTAGTCATACAACACAATTTCTTTCTTTTTTTAAAGATTTTATTTATTTTTAGAGAGGGGAAGAGAGGGAGAAAGAGAAGGAGAGAAACATCTGTATGTGGTTGCATTTCGCACGCCCCCTGCTGGGGACCTGGCCCACAATCCAGGCCTGTGCCCTGACTGGGAACCGAAACAACAGCATTTTGGTTTGCAGTCTGGCACTCAGTCAGCTGAGCCACACCAGCCAGCACATATAATTTCTTTAGTGAACCATTTATCACGCAAGTCCTGCCCACTGGTCTTCAACATATTAAGTTAACACATTTTTGAAATGCCAGAAGTAATACCCCTTGAAGGCACAACCATCCTCAAGAGGACACAATCTTAACTATCCTGTAATTAGATCCATACTTTGCTTTTTCCCACCTTTCTGCAGTCTTCCTTGCGTTCCCTCCTTAATTTCAAATACATAAAAGAAACCACAAAACCATCATTCTCTGGAGCACTGGAGATCTTGATTACTGGCAATTGTCATCAGTTTTGCTTAAATAAACTCTTATAAAATTTCTTTATAGGTTTTGGACTTTTTTCATATTGACACTTTTAACCTAGTAACGTCATACACTCCCAAGTTTGGGCACATACTCAGAAAAGACCTGAAAAGGCACTAAGTCTTTAACTTTGGTTGAACTTTAGGCTCTCTATAAGCAGGATGTGAAGGCTAGGGCAGAGTGTAAGCCCCCTTTATATATTCAGAACCCATTTCCAGATACTAAGAGTACTAAGAGTTTTTTGTTTGCTTGCTTGTTTGTTTCTGTTACAGGCATTCAAGGAGATCTCTTAACATAGCAGTCTTCAGTGGCCACGTACAACAAATTAAAAAATTATTAAATTAGTTCAGAAATATCACTAAACATACACACAACACCAACTACAACAAGCAACAACAAACCCTAGGGAATGGAAAAATACTATTCTAGAAATGCCATATTATAGTATTCCAAATGTCCAGTTTTCAGTAAATGAAATTATGAAGCAGGCAAAGAGACAAATTTATGGCCCATTATAGGAAAAGCAAAATTAGAAACAGCCCCTAAAGAAACCTAAATATTAAACTTACTAGAAAAAGAATTTAAGCTATTTCAAATATGGTTAAAGATCTAAAGGAAATCATTTACAAAAAACTAAAGGAAACAGTAAGTACACATTTTGATCAAGTAGAAAACATGTTAGAGATAGAAATTATTTAAAAAAAAATATGTAGATATTTGGCAGTTGAAAAGTACAATAACACAAGTGAAAAATTCCACAAGAGGAGTTCAACCGCAGATCTGAGTAGGCAGAATAAAGAATTAATGACCATGAGATACGAAAATTTATATCACATAGTCTGAAAAATAGAAAGAAAAAAAGAATGAAAATAATATGAACAGAGCCTGAGGGACCTGTGGGATACCATCAAACAGTCCAATATACACATAGTGGAGGTTCCTTAATTAGAGAATGAAGTTAAAAAATATATATTTTTTTGAAGAAATAATGGCTAAAAACAACTAAATTTGATGAAAAACACAAATGTACACAACCAAGAAGCTTAACAATCCCCAAAGGAGTTAAACTGAAAGAGACAGAGATCACTAGTATATCTACCCTACAAGAAATGCTAATAGAAAACTTTCAGGCTGAAATAAAAGGACAATGGATATTAATTCAAATTCACAAAAAGAAATAAAGGACACTGATAAAGGTAAATATAAATGTCAATAACAATTGTTTATTTTTTTTGTTGCCTGTAACTCTTTTTTCCTATATGACTTAAAAGAAAAATGCCAAAACCAACAATTATAAATCTGTTTATGGTCACACAATGTATAAAGATGCAATGGGTCATGAAGCAATATTTAGCAGGGTGTGAGGCACACAGCGGTATATCTATCTAGGAACAAAATTTTTGTATGCTACTGAACAAAGCTGGTATTAAATCAAAATAGATTATTATAAATAAAATATTATTTTAATCCCTGGGACAGCCACTAAAAAATAACTCAAAAAATGAACAAATGTCACCTCAATAAATACAATTTTTAAAAAACCTAAAAAACCCAAAATATGAGAAGGGAATTAAAATGGACCACTAGAAAATATAGAACACAAAAGTAAATAATAATGGAGGAAATGAAATCAAATAACAAAATGGCATATATAGGTCCTTCTTTGTCAATAATTACGTAAATGTAAAAAAGGCAGATTTTGTCAGAGAAGATAGAAAAATACACTATAATCAATTATATACTATCTTTAAAAGACTCATCTTATATCTAAAGATATTGATTGAAAATCAAGTGCTGGGAAAAGATATCCCATGAAAACAGCAGCCAAAAGAGAGATTGTGTAGCTATATTAATTTCAGCAAAATAGACTTCAAGGCAAAAATTGTTATAAGACACAATGAAAGATATTAATAATAAAAAACAAGACAGGGATGTCCACTTTAACCACTGTTATTCAACATAGTACTGGAAATCCTAGCCATAGCAATCAGATAAGAAATAAAAGGCATCCATATTGTAAAGGAAGAGTAAAGCCGTCATCAATTGCAGATGACATAATATTGTATATAGAGAACCCTAGTGATTCCACCAAAAAACTACTAGAACTGGTAAATGAATTCACTAGCAGCAGGATACAAAATAAATATCCAGAAATCAGCTGCATTTTTATATTCCAATAATGGACATTCAGAAAGGGAAACTAAGGAAACTGTCATTTACAATTGCATCAAAAAACAATACCTAGGAATAAATTAACCAGGGAGGCAAAAGACCTGTACCAAGAAAATTGTAAGACACTAAAGAAAGAAACTGAAGAAGATATAAATAAATGGAAGTATACACTGTGCTCATGGATAGAAAAAATGGTTAAAATGTCCATGCTACCTAAAGCAATCCATAGATTCAACACAATTCCTATCAAAATACCAATGGCATATTTCACAAGAACTACAACAAATAATCCAAGAATTTATACGGAACCACAAAATACCCTAACTAGTCACAGCAATCTTGAGAAAGAAGAACAAAGTTAGAGGTACCATGCTACTTGATATCAAACTATATTAAAGGCTATCTAGTAATCAAAACAGCATGGTACTGACATAAAAACAGATACATAGACAAATGAAATAGAATAAATAGAATGAAATAGAACAAATGAAATAGAATAGAAACAGAAATATGCCCACGCCTATATGGTCAATTAATATTTGGCAAAGGAGACAAGAATATACAATGAGGTAAAGACAGTCTATTCAATAATGGGTGTTGGAAAAATTGGACAAATACATACAAAAAAAATGAAACTAGACTACCTTCTTATACCATATACAGGAAGAAACTCAAAATGGACTAAAGACTTAAATGTAAGCCAAGAAACCATAAAAATTTTAGGAGAAAACACAGGCAGTAAAATCTCAGACATTTCTCACAGCAGTATTTTTTCTGATATACCTCCTCTGGTAAAGGAAACAAAAGAAAAATAAACAAATGAGACTACATCAAACTAAAAAGCTTTTGCACAGCAAAGGAAACCATCAACAGGTGAAGACAACCCACTGAATGGGAGAACACCTTCACTAATGATACATCTGGTAAGGGGTTGATACCCAAAATTCATAAACAACCTATACAACCCAACACCAAAACCTCCCAAACAATCCAGTTAAAACATGGGCAAAGGACCTAAATAGAATTCTCTTCTTAGGACATACAGATGGCCAAAAGACATGTGAAAAGATGCTCAACATCATGAGTCATCAGAGAATGCAAATTAAAACCACAATGAGATATCTCCTTATACCTGTCAGAATGGCTATAGTCAATAAATCAACAAATAAATGTTAGCGGGGATGTGGAGAAAAGGGAACCCTGTGCACTTAGTGGGAATGCAAACTGATGCAGCTCCTATGGACAACAGTATGGAGATTCCTCAAAAAACTAAAACTAGATATACCAAACAACCCAGAAATTCCATGTCTGGGTAGTTATCCAAAGAAAACAAAAACACGAATTTGAAAAGATATACGCACCCTTATGTTTATTACAGCATTGTTTACAATAGCCAAGATATGGAAGCAACCTCTGTGTCCATCAACAGATGAATGAATAACAAAGATGAGGAATATATGTACAATGCAATATTATGCAACAATAAAAAAGAGTGAAGTCTTGCCATTTGTGACAACATGGATGGATCTAGAAGGTATTACGCTAAATTAAATAAATCAGACAGAGAAAGACAAATACTGTATGGTTACAGTTATATGTGGAATCTACAAAAACAAAACAAAGGAACAAACAAAACAAAATAAAAATAGACTCACAGAAACAGAGATCAGAGGGATGGTTACCAGAAGGGGGGATGGGGGATGGGTGAAAAAGGGCAATATAGTCAATAATATTGTGATAGGTTTGCATGGTGACAGATGATTACTAGAATTATTGGGTGATCACACTGTAAGCTATAGAAATGTCGATCATTATATTGTACACCTGAAATTAATATAACCAATATAATACTGTATACTAACTATACTTAACTTTAAAAAATTAAATTAAAAAAAGAAAATGGAAAGACACCACAAAATGGGAGCAATTATTTGCAAATCATATTTTGAATAAAGGTATAATATTCAGAATATATAATTAACTTTTATAACCCAAGAACAAAAAGATAAATAACCAAATTAAAAAATGGGCAAAGGACTTAAACAGACATTTCTCCAAAGAAGATACACAAATAGTCAACAAGTACAAAGTAAAATGCTTAAGGTTTGTCATGACAAAAATGCAAACCAAAACAATGAGATACCACTTCATACCCACAAGAATGGCTATACTCAAAAAAACAAATGTTGGGGGAGCTGTGGAGGAATCTGAACCCTCCCTCATGCAACAGTGAAGATGCTGGGCAAAACAGTTTGGCCGTTTCTGAAAAAGCTAAACAGTAATTTATGACCTAGCATTCCATTCCTAGATATACACCCAAGAGAACTAAAAGTATAGGTTTAAATAAAACTTACATACAAAAATGCATACCAGCATTATTTATAATAGCCTGTACATGGAAACAACCCAAATGTTTATCAACCATTGAATGGGTAAGCAACAAGTGGTATATTCATAAAATGAAATATTATTCAATCATAAAAAAGAATAAAGAACTAAGATACAAGCTATAACACAGCTAAACCTTTCTACATTATACTGCCTGAAATAAGTCAACCACAAAAGATCATATATTTTATGATCCAATAATATGAACTGTTCTAAATAGGCAAATTCTGAGACAGAAAGCAAATCAGCGGTTGCCAGCAGCTGGGAGGGAGTGGGGAATATAATGGGTCTTGACCACTTAATGGCGCTGACAATGATCTCAAATTAGGTAGTGCTGATGGTTGCACAACACTGTGAATACCTCAAAGCTGCTGAGTTGTACCCTTTGAAATGGTTAAGATAGTAAATTTTATGTTATATGAATGTTACTTCAATTTCAAAAAAAAAAAAAAAAAAAAAGAAGGAAAGACTTGTTACCTGAGGCATTAAATAAATGCAGGAATGATGTCAGGCTTACCAAGCGACGCCAGGTTCCTGCAGTTCTCCAGCATCACATCTCTGTACAGTGTTTTTTGAGAAGGGTCCAGCAATGCCCACTCTTCCTGGGTAAACTCTACAGACACATCCTCAAAGGTCACCATGTCCTAAAACCATCAAAAACATTAAAGCTTAGCCAAGGACCACCTCCACTGAGGCAATATAGGACAAGGGCCAAGGACGACAAGAGTGGGGACAGGAAATCCAAAGCAGAGGGTGTACTTTGTACATGAGAGTTCTGGGCTCAACTCTCATTTGCTTCTGGGTTCAGCCCTCAATCTCAAGGGCTGGGCATAGGCCTGGGACATTGCAGAAATCAGGAAATACTTGGTGAGTGTATAAATGATTTCCTAATGGCCACTGTCAATTGCTTGAGTTTAGAAAACAGTGATGTCTTTCCTTAGTGATAAAAACTATCAGCAAACATATGTAGACAGTGACCCCGCAGGAAACCTTGCAATGTAGTAAATATTGACATCTACTGACCTTGTTTGGGCAGCTCCTCGACCCTCCGTCAGATGCCCAGAGATCCTGGGATGCCCAAAGACCTGGTTTGGCTGTGAGGCTCCAGGTCATGGAAAGATAACAAGTTCACCTTTTGGCCAAAAAAAAGTAATGATTTGGAAAAAGAAAAATCTGACTCACCGGTAACCAGCCTGTCAGGAAGCCATTAACAAATCCTTCCTCCTCTGTGGAGCCTTTTTGTGGAGATGGTGGGTACAGGGGAGACTGGACTGAAGAAGAAATGAGTCATGAATGAGTCACGAGAGTCCAGCGCTCAGATTCCCCTCCTCCCTGACAGTAAACATCCCCCAAAACACACGCCCACAACCCACCCTTTCACTCAGAAACCAGAGCAGAGCCCTTTCTCGTTAGGGCCAGAAAACAAATGATCACTTGAGGAAGAGATCATTCCCATTTCACAGATGAGGAAACAAATATGAGGGACATCACTGTTATTCCAGCAAGTTGTGAAAAAAATTAGAGGTAAAATTAAAAAAAATCTGCATATTTACTATTCAGCTGACATTTCCCCAGACACTCAGGCCACTAAAGTCCCAAATACCCAAAACCAAATTAGGTACCAGCGACCTCTGGGCTCCACTTCCACCTCATTTGTTCAGCCCCTCCCCCACCAGCTCTGGTGCAGGGGCTTTTAACCGCTGGACCCCAAGAGCCTCCAGGGCCCACAACTTACCACAAGCGGGGAACAGAACCATGGCCATGATCCTGAGATTCAGACAGTAAATTTTCCTGAGCAACAGGGCAGTTGGGAGAACCAGGGTGCTCCTCCACTTACTCCCACAGTGCTGTCTGGAATAGATGAGAAAACAATAAAGATTCGTAGCCTCCCTCTCCCTCCAGGTTACTGAGGACAACTCTGTCTTAGCCTGCCTATCATGTCCTCCAAAATGCAACGTCTTCGTTACTGGGCCTTTGTTTTGCCTAGCAGGTGATGGACCCAGGGCCGTGGGATGGCAAAACGGGTCTTCTGTCCACCACGGTATGATCAGTATATTACCTCTCCACCCCATTTTAAATCCTTAGCTTCGCTTAGTCTCAAGGCACATTCTTCCCATCCATGTGGTTGTCACAATCACATTCCCAACTCCAATCCCTATTCACCTGAGACTTTGGAGCCTGACTTCCCTTATTCTTTCAACCTCCAGGCCCCCCCGGCTCAGATGATGTCAGACCGCACTGTGCTGAGTTTGCCTCACCCCGCCTTGGCCACATACCTCCCCGGGCACCGCCTCAGGCTTAGTCATCACCCAACACTTTCACTATCCAGAACAACGGTTCAGGAATTTCTCTCTTTGAACAAAATCTCCCAAACTTCTACTTTGTTCAGTCTTTTCTTTCTTTCACCACGTGTTCTTCTACCATGTAAAGAACTGCCCACCTGCTCTCCTACTTTCTTTCTACTTATTAGTCACCTTCTCTCCTCATTTCATGCTCACCCAGCTTGGATTACAACATCCCTCATTTCCACGAATTTCCTTATCCCTCACCCCCACCTACACAGCACTCCAGCAGCGCTCCAACCAGAAGGTTCCAATCATCTGCCTGCTCTGTGGCAGCATCTGGGCAGCTTGCACGAGAGCTGAACTACTGTCTCCTCTAGATACACACGGTCGCCAACATGCAAAGAGCGCTCAGTCCTACAGGACAATCCTGCAAGTCGATGGAGCTTCCTACCCATCAGACATTCTCTAATCTCTTTAAATCTCATACATCCTCACCTTTTCCCCCTATGGTAATCAGGTTCCTATATAAACAATGATTCAAGTCTCCTGATACTCATACCTGCATGTAATTAGGGCTGAGCTGTGTGACTAATAAAATATTGTGGAGGTGATTTCTAAGGCTGGGTCCTAATAGGCACCGCAGCTTCCTCCTGGGTCTTTTGTGCTGCTTGTTCTGGAGGAAGCCATGTTGCAAGGACACTCACGCAGTCCTGTGGAGAGGGCTGCTTGGAGAGGAACTGATGCCTCTCTGTGACAGCCAGCACAAGAGGCCAGCATGTGAGTGCGCCAGGTTGGAAGTGAATCCTTTAGCAGTAGTGAAGCCCTCAGACGCCTGCATCCCAGCTGATATCCAGCTCAGAGGTCATGGAAGTCCCTGCGCCAGAACCTGGAAGTTAAGATGAATTCCTAAACTACAAAAACTGTGAGAGAGGAAATGTGTGTTTTTGTTTTAAGTGACTAAGGTGAGCAGCAATGGATAAGAAATACACCCTCACTTTCAGCAGATGACACTGCATCCTACTTCTCAAAGTGATCATCATGAGAGGAATCTACCTTCCTGTCTTGCCTCCAAAATGACAATCTGAACAAGGTGTCCACCCTCTCTTATGTCACAAATCAGGAGCTGTCTCCCCTCCTCTCTAAGGCCAGACTCTACAGCCTTGTTCTGTGTCCTGTCCCACCTGCCTTTAGGAGCTGCACACTATTGATGGGCCCTTGTTTATGCTTCCCTTCAAGCTCTCCCGCTCTACGGGACTCTTCCTCACATCATCTAAACCTAATGCAGTATTTTAAGTAGTGAAATAAGTCTATCTAATAGCAGTTTTCTTTCCAGTTACGGCCCAATCTCGCCCACTCAGCATCGCCAGTATTTTCACTCTTCCTCATTTCCTTATGTCCCACTCACTCCTCAGCAAAGTATAATTTGTTTCCACCACTGCCAGTTCGGCTGGTAGGAACATCAGTCTCTTATTCACAGAGATGCAGACTGCAACTAAACTGATGCCAGCTCTTATCAGTCAGAGCAACACAGACATGGTGGACCACTTCTTTTATCGGGGAGGCTGTGTGGATATCCACTCTCCTTCACTGCTGGGGTACACTCCTGTGGAAGGAATCTGTCAATGTCATGCAAAATGCAAAAGACATTTACTTCCTCACTGTCAATCGAATGGGTGCATTCAGTATAAGCCCTGACATTTGTTGCTGTTTTTTTCCCTTTTATGGAATGTGAGCACCTGACTGAAGCTTTGATTGCCAAGACAACACCCGTTTTACAGAGGCATCCAGTTGAAAGACAGCTCTCTCTCACAGACACATCTGGCAGCCTCAGGACTGGATAAAGAGGCCAGGCCACCTCCCCCATGGAGGCTCTGTACTTGGCTGACTGCAGTAACTGATCATTTGGACTCCCTGTGCGTTTCCTCTTCCTGCACTTTAAATTCCTGTTTTTATGTTTTAAATTCACCAATGAAGAGTGAACCCATGAAACCTTAGGCCCCTACCCGATAGATACCCCAATAAAAGCAGAACCCCAGGCCCATGCTTTCTCTCTACTTGTGACCTGCCTGTGTGGCTTAAGGCATGTTTTCTAGGTCTTGTAAGCAATAAACCTGTATCTTTTCAGTTTCTTGATGGTTGCTGGTAAAAGGCATCTTGCAATCATAATCAAAACCACAAGGCTGGTCTAGCCACATCAGTTATTAATAGACTGAGGTCAGCACAAAAGAGTAAGAGTATTCACTGCGGCCTTATTCATAATATCAAAGGATTAGAAACAACACAAATGACCATCAATAGGGAATTAGTTCAATGAACTATGGGATACCCAGATCAGGAAGCAATGAGCAGCCAAAACAAAAGAAAAATGATCTCTAGATACTGATAGATTCTTAGCTCCAATAAAGTTAAAAAAAATCAAGGTACCAAGTAGCATACATTGAATATTTCCTTTCTATGAGAAGGAACACCCCCTTTCCCTGTAGTTACAGAATAAAATGTAACTCCATAAAACTAGCTCCTTGAGGTCTGTGTGTGTGTCCTCCCTACACCTAAAAGATGAAGGCAACAGAAGATGTGAATGCGCACAGGCAGGGGAACTTGAGACACTAAGAGTGCCTGTGGGCCAGGTGAAAAAGAATTGTAGGAGTTGCTGACTCCCGGGCTTGTGTGATACCCACTTCAGTGCCGCTGCTTCAAAGATGTCCACGTTTACTCAGAACTGTGACTGTGCTTCCTTACATGGAAAAGAGTTTTTTAGATATGATTAAAGATTTTGAGATGGGGAGATGATCCTGGACTATCCAGGTGGGCCCAGCGTCGTCACAAAGGTCCTTATAAAAGGGAGGCAGGAGGTCAGGGTCAGCAGAGGAAATGTGACGATGAAAGCAGAGGTCAGGGAGTGAGAGACTAGAAGCTGCCACGCTGCTAGCTCTGAGGTCAAAAAGAGGGGCATGAAGACAAGGAATGAACGCAGGAGGCCTCTACAAGAAGGACATAGCAAGGGAATGGATTCTCCCCTAAAGATTCCAGGAGGAAGGCAGCCCTGCCAACCCATCCGGGACTTCTGAACTCCAGAGCCACAGGAAAATAAACCTGCAATGCTTTAAGCCACAAAGTTTATGATAATTTGTTATAGCAGTTACAGGAAACTAACATAGCTTCTCACATCAGGCCCTCCTGAGCTCAGTGTGAGTCCAGCCAACCCACACAACTGTGGCAATTTCCTTACCTGCTGCTGGTGGAGAATGGCTCCTTCCCCCCAGCCAGGGACCCAATTTGCTGTTAAGATTAGTGGACAGTCACTGAGCTGAGGATAGAGAGAAGAGCTGGTGGGATCCAGCCAGCTCATGGAGCCGCATGAGGCAAGGAAGCTGAGAAGGTGCCTGTGATCCTCAGACCCCAAGTACCCCTTCAAGGTCTTCTGGCAGTTAAAGTCTCACATGAGGACAGAAGCGGACTCTGGTTTACAGATTCAGAGACTCCTGTTCCCTCTTGGATACATTGGTGCTGGGAGGGCCACAGAGAAAGGGCCACCCAATACCATTGCTGTCCCACAGAACAGTCAATGATGACAGAAATGTTCTGGAATTCTGCTGTGTTCAATACAGCAGCTGCTAGCCATAGATGGCTACTGAGCACTTGAAATGTGGCCATTAGGACTGAGAAAATGAATTTTTAATGGTAGTTTTCATTGGTTTAATTGAAATGTCTACATGTGGCTGGTGGCCACCATGGTGGATAGAGAAGTCATAGACATTCTTAGGCATGATTTTCTTTAGGATGTGCAGGAGGGGCCTCTGAGAGGCAAAGTGGGATGAAAACCTAGAGCTGGGGGAGGGCGATGCCTGCAGGTTTGCACGGACAGGGGCTAGGAGCATAGTGAGTGTTCTGTGCCATCTGGCAACTGCATGCATGAATGCAACCTTCATTACATTCTCTTAGTTCTAAACTCTAAGGTCTCTTTTTTTCTACTTCTTTCCTCCTCCACAGCAATTATCCAGGCCTAGGGAACAACCATCTTAAACCTAAACTTCTTCCTAACACCTCTTATGGTCCCTCTTAAGTCCTCATTCATAATCCTGAAGCCCATTTCAACCCACGTGGAAAAACCAACAGCTAATAATCCCACATCCTCTTCGGTGCCTGCTCACTGGCCTATGGAGAGAGTCCGGAGCAACGCCTGATCTGGTCCTGTCGGCCCAGCTGCCCAGGTTGGCTCATACTCCTTCCCTATGTTGTTGTCTTGACCTCAGCCACCCATCGTCCCAGTTCATGGAGCACACCAGGCTCTCCTGCTTTTGGGGTTGTTCTTACGCAGTTCTCTCTGCCTCAGCGCTTTCTTAAATGTACTCTCGCACCTTCACTCCAGTCTAGTCCTATGACTGGCTAAATCCAGTCCCGACTTCAGCTCTCAAGCTAAATATCACTCTTTCTCAAGACGGCTGGCTTCTCTTTTCCCTCAGGTTGAGTCCTCTGTGCCAAGCTCCCACATTAATTATGTAATTAATTTTTAGAATGTAAACTCCATGGAGGGAAGACAAGGTCCGTCTGGTTCTTCCTATGCTTTTGGCGCAGGGCCTGGATCACAGAGATGATGAACCATCCTGGTTTGGCTATGACTGCACTTGTTTGAAACCTAAATGCCCTGTATCCTGGCAAATCCCTTAGCACCAAATAAATGAGGACGGCTGGTCACACTATCAATTGCATAACAAGTGAATAGTCCCCTCAAGTGTGTTACAAGAAAGCTAATGAAAAAGACATGTGCGGGAACACACACGCAGGAACACACACACACACACACACACACACACACAGTATTAGTGAAGCCCAACAACTGAATATAAAATTACTTAACCTGCTTCTCTGCAATATGGATCACCAGACTATTATTTCAGAAAAGTTTTAAGAAACAAAGTTAATTTCCAGTAGAAAGCAAGTTGTGGAGGACAGTCTTTGGAAACTGGTGTCCTACCCTTCAAATCTGCAAGTTGTTACTTAATCCTCCAAATGATTTCAAATCTCATTAAGGAAAAAAAAAGCTGCAGGTGATTTTTTCCCCCATCAGATCAACCCTGTTGATCAAACTAAACTATTAGCCAGTTTTTGTCTGATGCATTGCAAAAAACAAGAAAAAAAGAAAAAGGAAAAAATGCATTTGCTCAAAATACATCTGATTGCTGGTCTATTTAAATTTCTGTTATGGGGGTGGCTGGATGGAGGGGAGAGATTGCATAAAAAAAGAGAGGAGGCACTCATGGACTTGGACAACAGTGTGGTCACTGCATGGTGGAGGGAGGGAGATGGGGGAGAGGAGGTGGGGGAGGGTGGAGGAGGCTGAAGACTCCATGGATGGAGACTTCACTCAGGGTAGTGAACACACAATACAGTGCACAGATGATGTGCTGTAAAGTTGTGCACCTGAAACCTGTATAATTTTGTTAATCAGTGTCACCCCAGTAAATTCAATAAAAAGGAAAAAATATAAAGTTCTGTTACTAATATAAATAAGTTCAAATCATTTTTCTTGTCACTGTCCCCACATTTTGAATCTTTGTGGCGTGTTCATAGAGCTTTAGTAGTCAAATTCAACAGGCCCGAGGAATGTTGCTAAGCAGTCCTGCTAGTCTTTAGTTGGATGACCTGCCATACTTCATATACGTGTAAAAAATTACATATTTATATTTACATACAATATCCTAACATTTTAAATATTATGTGAATAAATACATATTTCTACACTGTTGTGTGTTTTATTTACATGCCTCTTTACGGTGTACTTATTTATTTGCATATAACTGTATTTACTGAATTATTTCATAGCCACACACACCTTTACTAAGGTTTCCTTGAATATAATCCATCAAACATAAATAATTTTTCTTAAGATTCTCTCACTCCTAGTGATTCTTTGTGTTTATAATCTGGGCTCAAGATAACCCATTCGCAGTTCTTCTGCACGGTGGAGGCAGCTGGCACCTGTTGTCACAAGTTTGACACAGCCCTCACCTGGTCACAGAGAAATCTTCAATCAGTGAGGAGAGGTGAGCCTTGAGGGTGGTTTCAACTCAGACCTGAGCTCTACTGGTGCTTTTATCGTCTGGGGAGAAAAGAAAAAAATTGCTCTTAAGGTCTTTTATAGGGCGAAATACAGTTGTTGAATGGGAAAGCTATCTCATTCACTTTCCTTTTCCATATTTACTGATTAACTGTAACTGTTGGCTGTGACGATTTTTTTCTGATTCCCATCCAGCCATCTGGCTCTCCAAGTGGGAGAAAGCCGGTTCACGCTGTGTGCAATTGACTTGATCAACTCATTTGGCTGGATAGTTCGTTTTTGGTGACTCCAGACACTTTAAATATGGCTTGTCACTTGGGGGGCCCTGTAAGTGACTCAGCTGACTTGTAAAGAATTTCCACAGTTCATTTAGGGCCTCAGAGATTTTAAGGCCCCAGAGCAGGGTTTCCGAACCTCAGCCATACTGACATTTGGGGCTGGAAAATTCTTTGTTGTGAAGGCTGTGCACTGGAGGTCGTTGAGCAGCAGCCTTGGCCTCCACCTTCTAGATGCCAACAGCCCCCCCCCCCCCGCCCCGCCATTTGTAATAACCCAAACAATGCCACCAGACACAGCTAAAAGTCCCCTGGGGGAAGAAAATCACACCCAGTGAGGGTGGTGATGATCGGGGGAAGGTATGAAGGAGGAACAGCGGCGTCCAGAGGTGGGAGCTAACAGCAGCTTCCGGCCAACCTGAAGGACCAGCCCAGAGGAGGAAACTGGGTCCCGGGAGGGGCGGAGAGTCCCCGGCCGTGATGGAGTGCCCTTAGCCCATGCCCCTCCCTGCACTGCCCCCGGACTACCCGCAGCTCACCTAGTCCTCCCCTCGCACTGCAGCCAAACGTACCACGTGAACGCCGTCCCCCCTAGAGAAGAAAACATACGCGGCACAGCAAGCCTCCCACGACTGCGTCCACGGCGCCTCCCTGGGCTTCTACTTCCGGTCTCGGGCTGGCGGCTCCACACGGAAGTTTCCGGTCACGGGCTGGCCACCGCGGAGAGCGAGAAGACCGGGGTCTAGGGGCTGAGGCGGTGATCAGGGAGAGCGGGGGTCGGAAGAGACCCATGGGCGGTTTGTGAGCGGAGACTAGTTTCTGGCGTCTGGGACTAGGCTCTGGACGACACCAGACACAGATGGCATGGTTGTGGCTCAAGGCCAGTTCTCCGGTGCGGGTTGAGCAGGGACCAGGCTGTGTGTGGCACCAGGCCCAGAGGGCGTGGCCGTGGGCGGAGACCCTGTCTGCCGGCGGTACTGTAGGAGGGACCAGGATGTAGGCGGTACCAGGAGCCCCGGACCCGATTATGGGTGGGGAACAGGATTCGTGGTTAAGACTGCGGGCGGGTACCAGACCTTGGGGGCAGGCTGGAATAGAAGGGCTGGACGGTGGAGAACACCAGTTCCGGGGATGGGGATGAGGCAGGGATGGGGCTGGAATAGAATAGGCGGGCTGGACAGTGGGAAGAAGCCAGCTCTAGGGGCGAGGGGGATGGTGGGGCTTTTCCAGGATCCTTAGGCTGTTCAGGTAACAGAAAGGGAAATGACAAATTTTCCCTCAGTTTCTCCCCCGCCCCCATTCGCACAGTTTCACAAAGGCCTAATAGAATGACAATCACATGTTTAGGATTTTAAGTTTTTGTGCGTATTTTTGTTTTTAATTTCTTTGTAAAAGTGAACCATATTCACATTTCTCTAACAGGGGTGTCCAACCTTTTGGCATCTCTGGGCCACACTGGAAGAAGAAGAGTTGTCTTGGACCACACATTAAATACACAAACACTAATGAAAACTCAGGAGCAAAAAACGGTTATAAGTTTACGATTTTGTCTTGGGCTGCATTCACAGCCATCGTGGGCCACATGGGGCCTGCAGGCCTTGGGTTGGACACCCCTGCACAACTTGCTGTCCCAAATGAATAGAGGGGGATCTAACACTATAGCTGTTCAATTAAAAAATTTTTTTGGTGGAGAGGGACTGCATCATAGATAAACATATAGTAACACTTCAAAAATGGGTACAAAGTTGGTAAAATAGTCTCACTCCCACCACTGTCTCCCAGTTGTTTTACCTAGTGTTGGGGGAAAAGCCCCAAAAATCTAAATTCAGGATGGATTCTGAAGAACTGACACACAGCCTCTTTTAAATTCATACGAGCTTTAATAGGAGAAACTTACATGGGCAAAGCAGCTGCTTGTTTCCAGGGGTGGCTGCTGGGAATAAATGCACCGCCCCCCACCAGGATAAGGTCTTCTTTTCATAGGGGATTAATGGTAAAACCATATGGTGGGTAGTCACGTAGACCACCAGAAAGAACAATGAATCCATTTCTGTGTTAACAGATAACATTAGGCAGTTATCCATGCTCTATACATTCAATAACCTCCTTCCTGGGGCCTGACATTTCTCTCTCATTGGCATTCCGGCTCTCTGGGTAGTCAGCTAAACCTGGGGTTACAGAGAATTAAAAAGTCACAGGAGGTTAAACACAGAGTCCAACATTTTCCAGACACCTTTACTGCTGGAAACATACTGCATCTCTGAAGGAGTTCCCCTACACTCAGGTATAAACATCCTCTTCTCCTCTGTCCTTCCAGATACAGTGTGTATATATGTGTATGTGTATATGTATATATGCATATACGTGTGTGTGTGTGTGTGTGTGTTTAAGCCTAAGGGGTGTTGTGCCCAAGGAAAAAATTGAAGCTGGTAAAGTGTCTCATACATCTGAATCCACTGAAAACAGATTTATATTTCTGGTGCACAGGGATGAACAAGTGATGAACTGATAGGAAGAAAAAGAAACAAGGGAAGTTTACCATTTCAAAGATCAAAAGAAAAAATTAGGAGAAAATGTATTCATATTATCCTACATGGCACTTCTCTGGTTAAGATTCATAAAATGATAAACGTTTATGTAATAAGACAGTAGATGTTGAATTTTGATTTATCCAAATTCTTTAAATAATTATCCTGGGCAAGATAAATTATGTTTTAAATTGTGTAAGAGAAATACATGCTAAATTTTTTCAGAGAAGAAAGTCATGAGAAAAGGTTAAAAGCTGCAAAATGAAAAAGATGTGTAAGTAGGTAATGTAGAAATATAGGGTTGCAATCAGAAAAATGAAGTTGTTTCTGCAAGTCCAAATAAATAGCAGGGAAGGTTGATCTTAATTATAAAGCTTGAGGTATTATTTGAGATATATGTGGAGAGGCGTGTTGGGGGGAGAAGTATTTCAAAGGGATCATCAATTTTAAGAGGAATTTATAAAAATGACTCACTTTGCAACAATGGACTGTATCTTGAAAATGGCACAATTCAAAAATAAAAATAAAAAAGATGATCATTTTGGTGGAAAAATGAATGGCCATTACTTTCCAATGCACATGATGATAACTACTTTACATATGTTATTTCTAAGTTTTTTCACAGCAACTCCTCAGGAAGAGGCTTCCCTATCCCAAGTTATGGATGAGGAAATTGATGGTGGTGTTGCTAAAATGTTCCTATTATATAGAATTTCTCAGGAGATATTTTTAAATTGCTTATTGAATTTCTTTTTTACTAACAACATAATGTGTACCATTCTAACACATAAGCAGAGTGTGTAAAAAACAGTTTAATAAAGCTACAGTTTTCTCCTGACATAGTTAAATATATCAATCACCTTATTATTTTCCTGATGTCCGCCTTACATCTAAGAAGATACTTCTTTTCCTAAAGGTGTACTAAAAAACTCTACTAAATATTCGAGAATCAGGGTATCCCCAAATATGAAAACTTCCTAAACACACACACACACACACACACACGCCATTACAAGCCAAAATATTTGATGCAATAACCTTAAATTATTAAGCTGATATCAATGCAACTCATAATTAGGAAAATATTAAAATTTTAGAAATTTAGAAAGGTAATTTATTTCATTAACTAGTGTATATAGAAAGTTTTCTTTCAATCCCACTAAATGCCAGGAAAACATTTGGGAAAATGCATTGCATTGTTATTCACAATAACCAAGAGTTGGAAACAACCTAAAAGTATGCTGATGAATGAAAGGATAAGGAAATGTGATCCCTCTCTCTCTCTCTCTCTCTCTCTCACACACACACACACACAATAAACTACTATTCAGCCTTAAAATGGAAGGGAATCTTGTAAGTTGCAATAGGCGTGTACCTTGAGAGTATTATGTTAAGTGAAATCAGCCAGCCACAAAAGGACAAATACTGCATGGTTCCCTTAAATGAGGTATCAAAACCAATTAAACAAAGTAGAATTGTGGTTGCCAAGAGCTGGGGGCACAGGAGGTAGGGAGCTGCTCAATGTGTGTAGGTAGAGTTTTAGTCATTCAGGATACAGCATAATTGTGAAAATCTGTTGCACAACCATGTGCATATGGCTGACAGTATTGTACACTTGGAAATTGTTGGCAGGGTGAATTTTATGTTTTATGTGTTTTTTTCCACAATAAAAAAAGTTAAAAAATACAATACCCACTTCTAACATATAATTCACAGAATGAAAAGACATTTCTTAATCTGTAAACATTAGAAGGTCTTTTAAACCTTGTTAGTTTGCTAGGGCTACCATTACAAAGGACCATGCTGGGTGGCTTAAAAAACAGAAATGGACAAATTCCTAGAAACACAACCTACCAAAACTGAATCATGAAGAAATAAATTATCTGAACATTCCTATAACTAGTAAGATGATTGAATCAGTAATTAAAAACTTTACAACAAAGAAAAGCTCTGGACCACATGACTTCACTGTTGAATCCTATCAAATATATTTTAAAAAAAATGGTTAACACTGATACTTCTCAAGAGCTTTCCAAAATTGAAGAGGAGGAAACACTTTCTGTTCTGCGGAGCTAATATTACCCTAATACCAAAATCTAACAACGACAATACAAGAAAGGGAAGCTATAAACAAACATCCTTTTTTGAGAATATTTTTTATTCTCAAAAAAGCTAGCAAACCAAATTTAGTAGCCAATGAAAAGGATCATACACCATAACCAAATGCAATAGATTGTTGGAATCCAAGGATGGTCCAGCATAAAAATCGATCAATGTAACAGATTGCATTAACAAAATGATGCGGTAGAGGGAATTACACTCTCATCTCTATTGATAAAAAAAAGCATTTGAAAAAAATTCAACACCCTTTTATGATAAAAACACTCAACAAAGTAGGAATAGAAGCAAATTTCCTCAACATAATTAGAGCCATATATGAAAAACCCACAGCTATCCTCATACTCAGTGGTATAACTGTGAAAACTTTTCCCTTAAGATCAGGAATGAGAGAAGGATGCCTGCTTTTGCCACTTCTAGTCAGCATAGTATTGGAAGTCCTAGCCAAAACAATTAGAAAAAAAAAGAAAAGAAAAAAGAATGAAAAAGGCATCTAAATTGGAAAGGAGGAAGTAAAACTATCTGTGTTTGCAGATGACATGATCTTTTATGTAGAAACTTGTAAAGATTGTACACACATGCATGTGTACACACAAACACGTATGCATATAACAGCTAATAAATGAATTCAGCACAGTTGCAGGATACAAGGTCAAAATGGAAGAATTATTTGTGTTTCTATACACTATCAATTAACAAATCAAAAAGAAATTAAGAAAATAATTCTATTTATAGTAGCATCAAAAAGAATAAAATTCTTAGGAATAAACTTAACCAATGAGGCAAAAGACTTGTACTCTGAAAACTGCACAATAATGCTGAAAGAAATTAAAGGAGACATAAATAAATGGGAAGACATTCCATATCATGGGTTGGAAGACAATATTGTAATAATGAAAATATTACATAAAGTAGTCTGTAGGTTCAATGCAATGTGTAAAATTCAATGACCTTTCTAGAGAAATATTAAAACATTGATCCCAAAATTCATATTGACTC